ACCCACTGTAAAGGCTACCGGGAGTATTACCAGATGCCCAGGAAAACTCAATTACACCTGAATTGTTGATGTAAAAACAGCAATCCACCTAAGGCCATGTATGAGCCATTTTCCTTTAGGAACAGTAGGTCCAGCCCCCTTCTGTTCTGTAGCATCATCTTAACTAGGGAGTTAATTTGTCTCTCCAACTGCCTGATGGAGTCCTGTAGACATCCAATATCTCTGTCTATCTGAGAGCTTAGAAGCCTAAAATTTTTATTGCCCATGGCTAGAGTGGCGCCACCCGAGGCATCAGAGCCTGCAGTGCCTGTTTTCACAAGGACTGACGGCAGGACTTCTCTTGGCCCTTGAGAGACCTGGGCTAAGGAGAAGTGTTTCTGCCCTTTCTCTCTGCTGTAGAGATAATCCTGGGGGAGTATGCACATGTATCCATGGTGAGAGTCCCATTCTAGCTGTTCTGTGGTCAGGCACTTAGTAAGACTGAAGGGTGCATGGGGGTTTTTATGAGATGATGGTTTATTACCTTTGAGTATCCACTTAGTTAATTTCTTTAGATACTGTTTTCAAAATGGCTGTGCCCATGTATACTCCCAACAACATAGAAGAGTACTCTTATTTTTTTATTTTTGATATTGCTGTGCAAATGAGTGTGAATTGCTACCGCACAGATGTTTAGATTTGCATTTGTCTGATGATTAATGGCATTGAGTACATTTTCACACACTTTGGAGAAAGGCTTTCTCTACGCATTTTTCATTCTATAATGTCCTTGATTTATCACTGAATAGTAAATGCTTTTTATAAATTTTGGGGAAAATATATACTCTGTATCTGATAAGATCAACACTACAAAATTTGTAAAAGTCATCAAGTTGACTCTATGCTTGGATTTTTTTTCCCATTTTCCTCCTTAAACTTTGTTACGTCTAGTTGGGTGTGATGGCACATCCCTTTGATCCCAGCACTTAGGAGGCAAAGACAGGTAGATCTCTTTGAGATTAAGACCAGCCTGGTCTACATAGTGAATTCCAGGCCACCTGGGGCTACAGGGAGACCCTGTCTCAAAAACAAGCAGAAAGACAGCAAAAATAGAACAAAACAAAACAATGTGGTTATGTATTACGTACACTTACTATTACGTACAATGTATAATATTTATAATATTATAAATCTGTCATTGGTTCTGAGCTTATTGTTTAACAAAGTCTAACATTTTTTTCTTTGAGTGCTTTTTGTGATATTTTAAAATAATCTCGTATTTTCTTTTAATGTGAGAATGTTTTAGGATGTAATTTGAAGACAAACTCAGGTAGAGAGGATCTAAAGTTACCAGGCATGTGATCATGAGCTAAAACTGCATTCTTGATTTGAAGTTTGGGTACCTACTGGGTCAGCAAATCCAGCTGATCATAAATTGTTATGGAAGCTTTCATCTCTTATTTATCACGAAGTCTAGGCAAGGACTTACTTTCTTGGTCTCTGTGATAGTTCTTCTTCACTGTCTACTTGGCAGGATCCAGAGTCACCTAAGAGACAAACCTCAGGGCAGTCTAAGAGGTATGTCTAAATTGGGTTAATTGAGGTGGATGTGGGTGGCTCCATGTGCTGGGGTTCCAGACTTAATACAAACCGGAAAGCACGTGGAGCCTGACCTTCATGTCTGCTTCCTGATAGAAGATTCAGTGTGAGCAGCTGCCCCACACTCCTGCCACCATGACTTGCCTACCGTGATGGACTTTGCCCTCCAATGTGAGACAAATTAAGCCCCCTTTCCTTAAGTTGCTTTTGTTGATGATGTGTCACAACAGTGAGATAAATAACTAATGCAGCCATTGGGGGCTTTGTTTGCAATTCCTGCTAAGGTCAATTCCTGCTACTCAGTGCAAGCCAGCTTTTTGTTGAACTCCTCACTCTGTAACCCTCTCCTTCTGTGGCTCTCTCTCTTCCGTACACTCCAAATTAGTGCTCCTTAAATCCATTCCACTCGTGACACCTTTAATCCTGAGAAATTATGTGACTCCAGGCATATGAGGTGGCCACGCGTGTTGTGGCTTGTTTGTTTTTATGTTAAGAATTAAATCTGGGATGAATAATTGAGCCTGTAGGGTACGGAGCAGCTTCAACAGCTTTCAGATTGGTATGTTGATTTTTATAGCTTTCAATGCTGAGAGCTGCACTTCATGTAAATATACACAAAATAACCAGAGCATGTTTAGTGCCATTTCAGAAAATTTTAGAATGCTGTCCTAATGTGAAGACAGAATTCACTGAATAAGATTTTAAACTGGTCAGCAACTCACACAATAATTTTTTTTTAAATCAAGCATTCTAATATAACACTCTTAAAAGATGTACTAACTCAACATTTGCCTGCTAAGGAACAACAATAGGAAAGTATTGTCTTTTTTTTCCCTGTAATTAAATCATTATGTTTCTATATGAGCAGAAATACATGTTTTGTACAGTAAAATGTTGCAATTCATAATGTTGAATCTGAGCGGAAGTATTTTACGGTGTTGAATCTGAGCTGAGGTATTTTGAATTCACGGTGTTGAATCTGAGCTGAGGTATTTTGAATTCACGGTGTTGAATCTGAGCTGAGGTATTTTGAATTCACGGTGTTGAATCTGAGCTGAGGTATTTTGAATTCACGGTGTTGAATCTGAGCTGAGGTATTTTGAATTCACGGTGTTGAATCTGAGCTGAGGTATTTTGAATTCACGGTGTTGAATCTGAGCTGAGGTATTCTGGACTGCAGTGGATGGTGCTCCATTGTGTGATGGTGTGTGTAGTTCAGAGTACACATGCTGTGTGCCATGCATCATGGGAGCACCACCAAAAACACCTCAGACTCATTACACATTTGACTTTGAATTACTTTTTGGTAATTATGCATTCACAAACTTTGTCAAGTTTTCATGACCGTCACACTCTGCAATAACATATGTCACCATAAAACACAGAAGCCCAAGAGCAAAATACCCAGGTCTCAGATCTGCTTACCTTTGATTTTCATATAGAACTTTCCAGAATATACTCAGCATTTCCAGCATTTGCAGAGAGGTGTTCTCTATGACTGTTTAATTTTCTATCATGCTGAATATTTTAATCTTGAGATTCACAAAGGATAGAAAGGAAAAAAGAACCGAATTAGAAAAATTAAGTATGTTAACAAGTATGGTGTCACAGGCCTGCAATCCCGGCACTTGGGAAATGGAGGCAGGAGGCTCTAAGACCATCCTCAGGAACATAGTGAGTTTGAGGCCAACATCAAACTCTGAAAAGAAAAAGAAAGGAAAACCAGAAAAATTAAGAATGTTAAAAATAATGGAAACCATCTTCTAAGCTCTTAATCATGAGGTCCTAAAGCAAGGAACAGTCCTGACATACACAGTTTGCTTGAAGTGGAGTGAACTTGAGGTAGTCGGCAGTGATTTGTGCAAGGATGGCATTTGTAGGAGAAGCTGGAATGGTTCTCTCCCAAAGATTTTTGAGAATAGGAAGAAAGCACAGAGAAGTCTTGGAGTGAATGTAAGACACACGCCATCGTTGGACTGTGAGTTTGCCCTGTGTAGTTCCTAGGACACCGAAGGACCTTGGCTTTGACAAGCTTTCTCCCAGTTCAAAGGAACAAGAAACTTCCTTTAAAGCAGCGATTCCTTGGAGGGTTGGTGAGGGTTTATCCTGTTCCTTACACAGGTAGAGAACTGTTGGTCAGCTTCTTACCAAAATAGCCGAGGCAATTACCTCAGAGTTCTGAAGGTTTCAATCTACGATCATGTTCTGGGCCTCTGTCAATGGTAGCCTATGGGTAAGATGTCTGATGAAGCAAGCTCTCCCCACCACATTTCATGACCTAGAAGGCAAGGAGAAGAGAAGGGACCTGGACCCCACCATATTCTCACAAAGGGCAGTCTCGATGACCTTCAACCCCAGCCCTAAAAATCCACAGCACCCCACAATAGTTACACTCTAAATCAAACTCTGATACAACACTTTGGGGGAAGCTTCTCTAAGCCATAGCAGAAGCCATGGGCAGGCACATTTCTTGTATTCCCAGTTGATATTGGTCATGGTGTCATTTAAAGGTATATGAGCATAAATAAACCAGAGAATTATAGAGAGAAGGTTGGAGATTTTATTTTTCTTATGCATTTCCTTATTGATTAGGTACATTGAGCACCTGGTACAGAGATATAGTTAACTGTGGGTCAACAAGAGGTTTGTGTCAAGAATATATCAATTTGAAAAAGAAAATAAAAATTACATTCTTTTTGGACAATCTAGGAATAATGACATGCTAATTCTTATGGCGCAGACCCTACAGTAAGTGTGCAGAACAGGGTTAAAGGCAGTACTGAAGCAAACGGAGTTTCGCTGGGGGTTATAGAAGTTGGAAGTAAACAAGCTGTAGCCTGTCAAGCCTGGGGATGAGCTGGTCAAGGGCAGATGCACAACCATTTGATGACTGAACAGGGAGACACTGGGAATTGCTTCCTGAATGAGGGGGCACTGGGAGCCATGAATGAACAGGGAGACACTGGGAATTGCTTCCTGAATATGGCGGTGGAGGGCACTGGGAGCCATGAATGAACAGGGAGATACTGGGAATTCTTCCTGAATATGGCGGTGGGGGCCACTGAGAGCCATGAATGAACAGGGAGATACTGGGAACCAAGAATTTAGATCGGTTTTCATAACAGAGTTAGGAGAAACTCAACAAGAGAAAGCCTTATCCTGCATTATGTTACTTGTGTGCTCAACATGGGGGTCATGAAGAGTCTAGGGTGGAGGCCTGGCATGTTGTCTGTGATGCTAAGAAAGTATCTTCATTAGGGAATGTGGCTCTGAGGACAAACTAAAGGGAGAGGCTGGGAACGTATTCTGTTAGGGAAGAGCCCACAAGCCCACTATGAGTAGTGGGCTCTTAATGTGATTAAGTAAAACAAAGATACTATATTAATTAGCACAATGAGCTAACTATGTTTTTGTTGTTGTAGAGGAATCCCAGGCAGGAAATGCGGCACAATTATACTCACAGCGGAGGAGTTAAACTGCTGCAGGGTGAGTAAATGCTTTTTTTTTGTTTAAGATTATATTTAATGCTTCCTAGAAACAACACATACAAATTCTCAATTAGTCTTAGAGAAAATGTTTTAAATTAAGTTACATCATGCTGTACTTCACGGAATGATGAACTAGATACTTAATGCTTTGACCAGAGGGACTACATTTCATATTCTAAGAGGAAGGTCACTGATTTTAAAGTTTTTAATAACAATAAAATGTACTGGAACATGTGACTCCATGGTGAAGTGCATGAGGCCCTCAGCATAATCCCCAAACCACAAAATGAATGAATGAATGAACAGATGTATTACGTTCTTGTATCAACATAATGTTTTAGGCACTAGTACAATAAATTGTCATTTATACCAGTCAGTTCAACCCCCCCCCCCAAAATTTTGAAGGTTTATTTATAATTTTGAAGGACTATTTCTGGTCACTTGAATTTTCCTCCACAGATCTAACTGAATTGCTTCAGAATTTATAATGGTTTTATCTTTTGGGAAGCCTGTGATAGAAGAAAAGATCAGTCTAGGAATAGGTCTCTTAGAATACAGTGTTGTGTCTTTAGAAAACTGCTGCCTTTACTGGGGTCTGCTGATTCACCCACTCCTCTTCATGATTCCGCTATTGACAAGATGAGGTGGTCACTGTGACACTCCACCTGAAGGTGATGATGACCCACCGTGACACTCCACATGAATGTGCTCCACAAGGATGGCTCCCTGAACTGGACGCAGTGTGATCTATTGGATGTGGCCCATTGGGCCTCAGGGGATTGTTATTTCTGGAGAAAATAAATATTTTCCCTCTTGGGCCTTTTATATTCAATTTCCACTTGATGATCTTAGGACCTGAAGATTCCAGAAATAGAAAAACTTCATTCTTTGGCTTTGACCACGGGTTCCCCCCTTGAGAGGCAAGCAAACATTATTTTGTAAAACTTAGCATTTATCTTTTCTGATCTTATTTCAGTGGCAACTGCCAAATAATTTTGAATTTAAAAAATGTATTATTTGAGAATACCATATATGTTTATGGCCTAAATTAGCTTTAAATGTAAACTTGACACAGTCCAGAGTCTCTGAGAGGACAGCCTCAGTGGAGGAACTGTTGGGTGAGACTGGCCTCTGAGCACGTCTGTGGGTGATGGTCTTTACTGCTAATTGTGGCATCAGGGCCCAGCCCACTGTGGTCAGTGGCATCCCAGGGTCCTGGGCTTACTTGCTAAGCAGGAGTCAGGAGCGAGGCAGCCAGAGTGAACCAGAGATTGAGGCAGAGGGTGGGCCCGCAAGCAGTGTTCCTCCATGGTCTGCTTTTTGTTTCTGCCCTGACAGCCCTCGGTGACAGACTGTGACCTGGAAGGGTTGGCCCTCCCTTCCCTAAGTTGCTTTTGGTCACAATATTTGTCATAGCAATTGAAAAGAAACTAGAAGAGTATGCAATATATTTTCATCATATTAGCCCCCTTCCCCCTCCAATTAATCCCTTACAGATACCCTTGCCAAGTCTCCCTCCCAACTTGATATCCCCTTTTCATAGCCGCTGAGCCCAGTCAGTGCTGTCTGTATATGCAGAGGCGTAAGGCCATCCACTGGAACTCGGGGAACCTACAGGGACCACTTCTCTGAAGAAAACTGATTCCCCATGCCTCACCCTTTAACCGCTAAAGCTTTTCAGCTCGGGGAGGGAATTCCTCAGCCCTTCCTCCAACTATGCAAGATATTTGACTGGCTTATTCCTATGCAGGCATCCACAGCCACTGTGAATTCATGAGTGCAATGGTCCTGTCATATCCAGAAGGCATTATTTTGTAAAGGTCCTCCCCAACCTTTGGCTCTTAGAATCTTTCCACCTGCCATTTTTCAATGTTCTCTGAGCCCTGTTGGGAGGGGGTATGGTATAGAAATACAACTTAGGGAAGAGCATGCCACAGTTACTCTGTGTACTCTCTATTAATCACAGGCTGCTGCAAAAATCAAGCTTCTTTGATGAGGGTTGAGTCCTCATGATGAGGGTACTTATCTCTTTGTACAGAGATAAACATTTATAAGGCAGTTTGATACAATTTTTATTTAGCAAAATAATAGTAATAGGTTATTGACTAGGGTCTGTGGCCCTTCCAGCTGCAGCTTCTTGGCTAGGTATACAGTACCAGACCTCAGTGTATCCAAGAAGAGGGGCTTAAATATAACCAGAAAACAGTTGATTATACCCATAACTTTCATGCCACTATTGTACCAAGGAGCATATCTTGTTGTTATTGTAGCTCTCAGGGTTCACAGCTGGGTAAGACTGTTTATGACTTTCCTTACTTGGCACCTGTATATAGCACCATCAGGTACTGTGAAAACTAACCAGCAGAGAGGAAGCTTCCAACTTGATTCTCTGTGTCCTGTGACCCAAGTATGTGGTGTCTTCAACAATATGGTCTTACCATCAAGTTCTGGTGGATAACCAAGAGCAATAGCCTGTTTGGTTTGGTGGGTGTTCTAAGGGACTTCCCTCACCAGCAACTCAAAGATGGTAATCCACAACTGACACTGGTCTTTTTATTTGATAGTCTGTGGCATCAGCGAGGAATAGTATTCCTTCATTTGGATAACTCCATTTATACACTTGTTATACATATGGAAATACATACATACATACATACATACAAACAAACAGCTGATTTGCTTCCATGTCCCATCTCTTGTGAACACAGCCAAAGGGAACATGGGTGAGCAGGTATCTCTCACCCAGGTAGGATATAGAATCCTTTGGGGACATACCTGAGTGGTGTTGTTACAGGAAACACCTCTCTCAGAACAGGCGTCAGGACTTAATGGAGAAATCAGACCTTTTATTTGTGTTGGCAATGGAGTCTGGAGATATTTCCAAAGCCAGAGTCACCAGGCATCAGGTTTTTACAGTGTTTATATATAATCCCACATCATTCAAGACCCACTCCATCACTGGTGGGTTTGAATTCCTCCTAGACTGCAGGCTAGGCACAGGTTTGCAGGGGTCTCCAGCCCACATGGTAGGAGGTGGGGATGCTTCCTTAGGCAAAGCTTTTATGGTTCTGTTTCTCAACCAGCTTCAGCTTTCATCTCAGCATATCTGGGTCATATGGTAGATCTATTTCTATGTACTTTTTATGTGTATGATGTTTTGCCTGAATGTATGCAAGTGCACCACATGCATACAATGCCTGCAGATACCAAAAGAGGTCATTGGAAAACCTGGAACTTGAGTAAGAGGTGGTTGTTAGCCACCATGTGGGTGCTGGGAACTGAACCCGGTCCTCTGCAAGAGCAGCCAATGCTCTTGACCTCTGAGCCATCTTTACAGCCCCAATTTCTAAGTCTTTGAGGAACCTCCAGACTGATTTCCATTCTGGCCACAGTTGTTATACAGTGAAATCTAGTTTCATTTTTAGTTATGCCAAAACTATAATTTATTTTAAGGGGCTTTTTTGCTACTATAACAAAATGAGCCTCCAAACTTAAAGAAAGGTGACATTACATTTTCTAGTTGTACTGACTGGGGAGCACCAAAGATCAGGCTTCAGAGTTCAGTGTCAGTAAGTCAGGGCTACACCTTTTTGCAAAGATCCGCCATTTTGGTTGAACTGTGACAATTCTCAATGTCACACTTTGTGGTTTCTAGAACAGTACAACTTATTTCTGTAGATTCTTGACCTGTAGACCCCTGGAAAGGCTGGTCAAGAGGGGTGTTTACAGATCATCTGTTATTTTTAACTCGCCACTCCCTAGTAACCCGTAGCAATGTCTAATCGTTTCATCCCCTCCCCTTCCTCCTCCATTTCCCTCTAAACATCCCAGCTCCTAAGTAGATGAGGAGCTCTCTGGCTCCTTGAACTAGTGAGCTCTCTGCTCTGCTTCCCACACACCCCAAGTTAAACCTGTGCTTTGTAGTCACTCATTTACTTGTCTGCCTTTTCTTATACTTTTTCTTACAGTGTCCAAACACTCATTTCCATCTTTTACCAAATAGAGATGGCAATTGTTGCTGGTTAAAGTAGAAAAAGAACAGGGCCCATAATAAAGTGCTTCTAGCAACCATGTGGGACGGTTTGTTCCTCCCACTCCACCCCAACAACGTCTGCAAATAGGAGATCCAGAACCAGGTTTCTCCTAGTACGTACATTTCCTTGTTAATCAACCACTTCCCATGTGTATTGTCTACATATTGGTATATTGCTAGAAAAATGCTTACAAAGGAATGAATGAAAAATTAAGTAGCATTTTCACATCATCTTCTGGAGTTAATCTAAGAAAACAGTGAGAATTTTTTGTGGATGCTTAAGAAGTAGTGTTAGACTCCACAAGATAAAGAAGAGTTGATGTTCACATTTTCTCCAAATAGCACTTAAAACTATGATCCCTTGATTTAATCTGAGTTAATTTAGTACACTATAGCTTTCCAAAATTTTCAGAATCTCCTTTCAGTGAAAAAAATACATACAAATTCCCAAGAGTATAGATTTGAATTTTAAATAAGTGTATATTTCCTACCACTCAAAAAGTGCTTATACAACCTAATTGAATAATGTTTAATTGCCTTGATATGAAGTCCTGTAGAAAATGAGCACTTGAATGCACAATGTTAAAGCAATGGTTAGTTTGGAATAATGTACAGATATATAATTATGTTACATATGAAAACGAAGCTATTTTGTTTTTATTGAATCCAAGTACCAAAGAAATTATTCTAAATGTAGGTTTTCAAACATTGTGGTGTGGAGAGAGAGAGAGAGAGAGAGAGAGAGAGAGAGAGAGACAGAGAGAGAGAGAGACAGAGAGAAGAGACAGAGAGAGAGACAGAGACAGAGAGAGACTGACTGTCCACAAGTTCAGCTGGAATTTGAAAACCAAAATCCAAAGCTCCTAGGACAGCCTGGATCCTCTACGTATTCTTGGTGATGTAGACCAGGCCCACTAGTTTTGGATTGATAACTTAAACAAAGAAAAGTCTGATAGACCCACGGT